CTAAATATATACACAAAAAAAATCATGACCTTGCTACAATATATTGAATGTTGTAAATATGTGTTGGTTGACGTTGTTTGAGTATTTGATTTGGGTTATGCTCATTGTTGGGGGCCCATTGCCCATGTTACAGCCCTTAATTTATATACACTGAACATACACACTGCATAATTACAAGGGGGTAAAAGAAACTATTAATCATGACCTAGCTACATGATTGTATGTATATAGCTTTATGCTGTTGGTGAATTTATTTTGGGGCATGTTCATTGTTGGCGGCCCAATTGCCCATTTCCCTTATATTTTAATTATAGCCTTTAATTTACATTAAACAAACTGCATGATTAAATAAAAAAAATAAAACTACTGATCATGACCTGCATGTAGCTACATGCTTGTATGTGTAGAATAATTAATTCCATCCTTTACATACTCTAAACATTCGAAATCTACACACTACAAAATTAATTGATCTGCACTAATTTCATTGTAGTCTTTAACACGTTCTAGTTATTTTTCAATTTTTATAAAATTAAACTTTTACACATACATCATATAATCAAAATATGATGTGTAGCTGATTATTATTTTATTTATTCAAAACAAATAATTAAACAAATTATTATGCTTCGTACAAATATTTACAAATTTTAATTTCATATCCTAAAACTTTTTTAATCATGCGCAGTTATCGCAGGATTTCACTGAATTTTAAAAAGCTACAATGTTTATATCAATTTTTGTCAAAACTTTGAAACCACAAGCATGCACATGAGGTGATTAATTTTTAAGGCTCCAACATATCATTATATTGGACATACATGTAAAAAGGCATAAAAATAAAAATTTTCCTTTGAATTCAAATACATTGTACATTTTTACATTGCGCTTGCTGGAAGTGTGGCAAGCATTCCCCAACATTCAATTTTGAGTGGAAGGGTGTCCATTTAACCCATACATATTCTAAATTCCAACTGGTGTGTTTCAGAAACCAGAAAGTTATAGGCCCTTGTTTTTATACTAAATTTGCAGCACACTTAAATTGCACATGATCAATAAATATATCAGGGCTTGAGAGAAATTTGAACAGTATTGGGATGTTCAAAATTTCAAATGACATGATCCTACCAAAAAGAAATATATTGAGATTTTAGTTTTAGCCAAGGGGTGCACATGTTCTATAAATGTTCACTTTTGTATTGTCTTGTTAATACTACTATATATCCATGAGTTCGTCAACGTTCAAAAAATTTCTCAAGAAATCTCAAAGTTAATTTGATATACATGTATTCCAATAAGTAGGTAATAATATTTCTAATAATAAAGTGCAGTACAGTTTCCTTTTAATTCGGATATAATAATAGATTTTAAATGTGTTATCTGTTTCTCGTTTATGTATTTTGCGTATATATTCCTGGTTTCCGTGCACATGTATACTGAGTAGTGATATGCATGAGATCTTGTATTTTGATCTACTCATCACAAATATTTTAGAAACATGTATATTTTAAGTCATCACATCGGCTCCATATAATCAAAAAATAGAAAAGTTACATAATCAATTTCATCAATCTTGATGTGTTTGGCTTGGTGCTCTTGCAAGCACTTGCGCGCAAAATGACCCCCACCCATATGGTGGCGGAGTTCTCTACCACAAAAAACTTGTGGTCGGGATCTTGTGGCGTAAACGAGCGTCACTAAGTAACTATCCTTTTATGCAGTCATGTAACTCATGAAAGTTGAAAAATAAACTTTGGATTTAGATATGATATACATAAGTAAGTGCTTGACCTCTGCAACTCCCAGGGTCAGGGCTTTTACCACTTTCTGAGATAGTGTTTTGAAATTTTAATTTTATACTATGGACCTTTTTAATCTGAAGCGTGAATATTTAATATGTAATCTTTGTTTTTTTGTTGCAAGACTTTGACACCAATAGCTTTTAATAATTTGTGTCTATAAATAAACATTGATTGGACATATGTATCGCCACAATAAAATTTATTAAATACATGTACATACTTGATGTTTCTTGCTGGAAGTGTGGCATTCCCCAACTCTGAATATTAGTGGAAGGGTAATTTAACCCATAGGTAGGTCATATTTTAACTGGTGTGTTTCTACATTAGCTGCTTTTATACTAAATTTGAAGTGCAAACATGCCTTACCTAAATCTCAGTACTTATTCCTATTGATCATCGTGCTTTTCAAATATTTAGTTGATTGATCCTACCAAAAAAAAAAAATTCAAGGACGGCGCTTTAGTTGAAACTTCACTTTTGTATTGTCATATTACAGCTTATCATTTTGGGTCAGTAAAATTTTCCAGCTTGTTATTGTGTATTAAAATTTGATATACATGTATTCCAATATCCAGTAGGTAATAATATTTCTAATTAAAGTCTGGTTTATTTGCTTTCAGATATAAAAGAGATTGTGGTGAATATCAATCTCAATATGACATGTATTTTGCGTATATATTCCAGGTCCTTAGGGAACAGTAAGTGATTGAACACAAGTATCATCTTTCTTTGCAGCATTCATCACAAAAAATTTAATGTGAAGTGATTTGAGGAACAGTCATTTATATGTAACTGATTATTCCAATTGCAAGACATTTCACCATTTTTGCAGGGTATTGCCAATAACTTTCCTCTAACCACAAACATTAAACAATAATGTGGATTTATACCACAAAAACTTGTGGTTTCTTTCGAGCTGTGATGTGCGTAAACGAGCGGCACTAAGTAACTATCCTTATATGCAGTCATTAACTCATGAAAAATTAAAAGTAAACTTTGGATTTAGATATACATAAGTGACCTCTAAACCTCCCAAGGTCAAGGCTTTTACCACTTTCTGAAAAAAATGATTTTGTGAAAGTGACCTTTGAACTATGACCTTTTCAACCTGAGTTTGAAAAAATTGATATGTAATCTTTGCTTTGTTGTGTTGCCAGAGACACAAATACCTTCTCACAATCTCTGTCTATGGATAAACAGCTGTGCCCAATTATATAATACCAATAAAATTTATTAAATACATACTTGATGTTTTTATATCCACTTGTCTGAGATAAACATGTACATGTACTTTGATTTACCACGTCAGCTGCTGACCAGGAAATTACACTATCATATAATATATAGTCGATTTATTTAAATACATTTTTAGGCATGTTAAAAGGAATTGCAATTCTCCCTTCAAATTTCAAACCCCTTCTCCGTTTTGGTCTCACAGCCTAAAACAAAATTTGGGATTTGAAATAAAAACTTGTCGTAAAAATCATCTTTTTTTAAATAATAAGAATAATTGATGAACATTTCTACTATCGAACTTAATACAAATTGTAACAAGGACACTGCAAAGCAGAACATCCCCTCACAAAGATATAACATCGGCCTTCGAAAATGCGATCCCTTTGCAAATTACGTCACTACCGTTCGTTACAGAACCTAAATTCACTCACCCACAAGAAAAACACATTTCCGATAATTTATCACTTCCAACTCCTTAGCCAGGGGATAACACGGAACATCCCCCGCAAAGAGCATAGGGTATAAATCAAGGCAGCATTCAACAATACAAAGTAACACACACACAAACACAACAACAGTATATCTCCTACAAAGTGAGGGAACAAGAGGCCCATGGGTCACATATCACCTAAGTACTATAGCTTAGACTTTGAAAAATTTTTTATTATTGAAAAGTTAAAATCCCAAATTAATCCCATGAAAAATCATGGATTTGCTATTCTTCAAAGAATTTTCCCATATATTTCTATGTAAAACTTTGGTCGGCCATAGTGGCCCCGACCTACCACCGGAAGACATTATTTGAACAAATTTGAATCTACACTACCTGAAGATGCTTCCATATAAATATGATGAACAATGGCTTTGTCATTCTTGAGAAGAAGATTTTTAAAGAATTTTCCCATTAATTTCTATGTAAAACTTTGCTCGGCCATGTGTTGCCAGCCCCACCCCCGGGGGTCATGATTTGAACAAACTTGAATCTTCACTATCTGAGGATACTTCCATATAAATTTGATGAATTATGGCTCTGTCATTCTTGAGAAGAAAATTTTTAAAGAATTTTCCTATATATTTCTATGTAAAACTTTGGTCGGCCATTTTGGCCCCGCCCTACCCCCGGGGGTCATGATTTGAACAAACTTGAATCTTCACTACCTGAGGATGCTTCCATATAAATTTGATGAATTATGGCTCTGTCATTCTTGAGAAGAAGATTTTTAAAGAATTTTCCTATATATTTCTATGTAAAACTTTGGTCGGCCATTTTGGCCCCGCCCTACCCCCGGGGGTTGATTGTGTAACAAACTTGAAACTTCACTATCTGAGGATACTTCCATATAAATTTGATGAATTTTTGGTTTGTCATTCTTGAGAAGAAGTTTTTTAAAGAATTTTCCTATATATTTCTATGTAAAACTTTGGTCGGCTATTTTGGCCCCGCCCTACCCCCGGGGGTCATGATTTAACAAACTTGAATCTGAAGTACCTGAAGATGCTTCCATATAAATATGATGAATAATGGCTTTGTCATTTTTGAGAAGAAGATTTTTAACCACAAATTTTCCCATTAATTTCTATGTAAAACTTTGCTGTCGGCCATTTTGGCCCCGCCCCACCCCCGGGGGTCATGATTTGAACAAACTTGAATCTTCACTATCTGAGGAAACTTCCATATAAATTTGATGAATTATGGATCTGTCATTCTTGAGAAGAAAATTTTTAAAGAATTTTCCTATATATTTCTATGTAAAACTTTGGTCGGCCATTTTGGCCCCGCCCTACCCCCGGGGATCATGATTTGAACAAACTTGAATCTTCACTACCTGAGGATGCTTCCATATAAATTTGATGAATTATGGCTCTGTCATTCTTGAGAAGAAGATTTTTAAAGAATTTTCCTATATATTTCTATGTAAAACTTTGGTCGGCCATTTTGGCCCCGCCCTACCCCCCTTGGGTCATGAATTGAACAAACTTGAATCTTCACTATCTGAGGATGCTTTCATATAAATATAATGAAATATGGCTTTGCTATTCTTAAGATTAAAATTTTTAAGGAATTTTCCTATATATTTTTATGTAAAAGTTTGGTCTGCCATTGTGGCCCTGCCCTACCCCCGGGGGTCATGATTTGAACAAACTTGAATCTTCACTACCTGAGGATGCTTCCATATAAATTTGATGAATTATGGCTCTGTCATTCTTGAGAAGAAGATTTTTAAAGAATTTTCCTATATATTCCTATGTAAAACTTTGGTCGGCCATTTTGGCCCCGCCCTACCCCTGGGGGTCATGATTTGAACAAACTTCAATCTACACTACCTGACACAAACCCCATAAGTTTCATCTTTCCTGGCACAGTGGTTCTTGAGAAGAAGGTTTTTAAAGAATTTTCCAATATATTTCTATGTAAAACTTTGGTCGGCCATTTTGGCCCCGCCCTACCCCCGGGGGTCATGATTTGAACAAACTTGAATCTACACTACCTGAGGATGTTACCCCATAAGTTTCATCTTTCCTGGCACAGTGGTTCTTGAGAAGAAGATTTTTAAAACATGCCACCAAATTTTCATTAATTCCCAATTATCTCCCCTTGAATGAGGGAGTGGCCCTTCATTTGAACAAACTTGAATTCCCTTTACCCAAGAGTACTTTGTGTCTAGTTTGCTTGAAACTGGCCCGATGGATCTGGAGAAGAAGTCGAAAATGTTAAAAGTTTACAGACAGACAGACAGACGGACAGACGGACGCCGGACAAAATGTGATCAGAAAAGCTCACTTGAGCCTTCGGCTCAGGTGAGCTAATCAAAACTAGTATTCATTATTATCATAGGCGTCGGGAGCAAAATGAAAGTGGGGGGGGGGGATGGGGGCTAATTCAAAGTGGGGGCTAAACTAACAAAAAAATTACATCTCAATTTCCAATGCCTATAGTATGTCTATCTTCGCAGTTCTTAACTTTTGTTATGTTCTTATTTTTTAATTTGGTCATATACCTCAGCATATTTTCATCTAGAAGGATAAAACATAATTTACTTTCTAAAACAGAACGCGTGTCATATCTGTCAAGGATTAACTCTCGCAATGGAGTTGCAGGAGGCAAAGCGGTTTGAGTGGAGGGGTTAGTTTGTCCTTGTCTGCGAAATGAAAGTGACGGTATTTGAATAGGGATCGATGTCAAAGGCTGCTTTGAATTTTGAGAGAAGATGATCCGCTTTGCGATGCCTTTGTTTTAACTAGACTGAAATTATACAATATGATATAACATCATTAACTTGCTTTCTCAGCTTAGCGAAATGACTTACTTCCTTTTTCGTTTTTTAATGATGTTTTAAAAATAAAAGTTACCATAGTTTGTTGATTTCTTTTTGAAGGACTGAGAATCCAGGTTAAGACCTGAAAGGGCAGCACTGATTTTGTCATCTAGGTTTTTTGGATTCTTGGTTCTTGTTGTAATTAGGTATGTGTCTATGTGAGTTTGTTGATGCATGATCGCAAATCCATTGACAGGGTCATCATTAACGTACAAAATTGTGTGTGTACCTAGTTTTTCTGAAAAAGGTAAAATTCTTTTGAAGTACTTTTTTCCGCGTGGTATTACATTATATGCTATTACGCGGTCACAAATATTCCGCGGAAATTGTAAAGCGTACTTTTTAAAAGATTTTTTTATTTCAATTTTAAAAATCGCTAATTATTACTTGGTATGGTCATACAAATTGATAAAAATAAAAACACATGTCCAAGCGTACTTAATATAAATGCAAGGCATATAGTGACAGTTTAAGAAATTCGCGGAATTTTCTACCCGCGGATTAAACAGAAATTGTGATTCCGCGGAATTATGACCCCGCGGAAAAAAGTACGTCTACAGTATTCTTAATAAAAATATTTATAAATAGCGATGTCTAATGTTATTCATTATAAATGTTAAAGGCGAAATCTGAGAAGATGATGTCTTTGGCAAAGAGAAAAAAGAACAAAGAGAGCAAATATTTTGGTAAACATCTTCTTTACTTTACTCGGATTGAGCATGAACACCGACAAAAGTCTCTTATGTACCTCACTTATTTTTATAAATTGGCCTGGCAAATTTTTTCTATTAACTCATCTAGATTGTGAACAAGCTCATACACATTGGCTTTGCCAGTTACCCAATCCTGATTGAATTACTCAATAAAAATGTATAAAGTTTATTTTGTACTTTGCCTGTTGCTCAGTCCTGATTGAAGTACTCAATAAAAATATTTGTTCAGTTAATTATATACAGCTGTGTCCAATTTTTATGCATTTAGCATAACAGAATAGAAGGAAACATAACTGTCTCTGTGAAATACTGATGCCATCAAATTGCACATTAATATTAAATCAGTGAAGGTTACACATCAATTAAGGGTTCAAAAATGTTGGTACTACGATATTCAAACTAGAGGTACTGTAAGCAATGAGCTCACTAAATGATACCCCCTCCTCCTATATTAATATAATGACAGTATCCATGTTTTGCTGTGGGAATCCCAAAATAAGTTTTTTATCAAAAAGCAAAATAGGAGATGCACAATTGCAATATGAAATAAAGATTTGAAACAAAGTTGCATCAAATTTCATTCAGTGGTATGAAGAAGTTGCAGATAAGATGGGTACCCATTTTTTAACAGACGGACGTACAGACGGACGGTTACTTATTTAGGCCTATCGTTCCATGGGAACAAAGACCATTCTCTGACAGTCCTCCAGCGAACACGATTCTGGGCTGCTTTACTTGCATCCTGCCAGATCATATCCTGTGTCTTTAACTCTGACTCCGAGTAACGCCTCCGGGTGTTTCTAGGACGTCCTCTTTCTTTATACCCTATGGGTTCCAAGTCAGAGCGTTTCGGATGGACACATACCGATTACCGGTACTATATACTAACTTAACATCTGTGTAGGTATATAATATTTCGAACTACATTTATAATGAGAAGTCATTATATTCTCCAAAATAAAAACAAGCTAATTCAGAGAATGTATGTCCCCGGTCGCTTAGGAAAAAAGAAGAGAATGCGCGGATCTAGTTTTTTTTCCTAAGCGGGGGACACGGATTCTCTAAATTAGCTTGTTTTTTTAGGTCACCTGAGTTACTCAGGTGACCTATTGCTATCCTTTTTCGTCCGTCGTCATGTGTTAACATTTGAGCTTGTTTTTTTAGGTCACCTGAGTTACTCAGGTGACCTATTGCTATCCGTTTTCGTCCGTCGTCATGTGTTAACATTTGAACATTTTCAGCTTCTTCTCTGAAACCACTGAACCAATTTAAACCAAATTTGGTTTACAGCATCTATGGGTAAAGAGAAACATAAATTGTGAATTTTATGGTCCCCGCCCCCTGGGGCCTGAGGGGTGGGGCCAAAACCACTAAAATTATTGCAATCTTTAAAAATCTTCTTCTTTACTCCCGGACTTCAAGCAGACAAGTTGTTGGCATGAATGTACTGAACATTAAGTCTTCTACCAAAATTGTTAAATTCATGGCCCCAGGGTTAGGGGTTCTAATTAAATAAACTAACTAAGCACATATTTATGATAAGCAAGAGTTTCTCTTCCAAAATTGTGAATTTTATGGCCCCAGGGTCAGGGGTTCTGGTGTTAGGGCGGGGCTCTATTGATTATATAGTGAAAATGCATTTATTCTTTGAAAATCTTCTTCTCTGCTTCTGGGTATGAAATAAACTAACTAAGCTCATAGTTATGCTGAGCAAGAGTGCCTCTTCCAAAATTATGAATTTTATGGCCCCAGGGTCAGGGGTTCTGGTGTTAGGGCGGGGCTCTATTGATTATGTATTGAAAATGCATTAATTCTTTGAAAATATTTTCCTTTGTTCCTGGGTTTTATGTCAATGATCCAAGTATATATATTTATGACGAAGAAAGGTGCATCTAGCAAAATGGTTATTTTGCTGGGGCATTTTGAAATACGTGGCCCCAGGGTCAGTGGTTCCTTTGGGGTGAGGTGCAAAACTGGTTATAAAGTGGAAGTGCATTTTCTCTTTGTTACTTTGATCTACTTCTGGGTATTAAGTAAATAGAGTAAGCATGCTAAGTTTATAAGTATGAAAAGCAATGTTGCCTCTTTCAAAATTGTTAATTGTGAATTTCATGGCCTCTAGTTTAAAATACGAAATGAAGTTAATTGTTTGAAAGTTGTTACACAATACTCATGTGACCTATAAGGCCCGTGGGCCTCTTGTTTATTGTAGGTTCGCCGCGTTTAAATTCCTCTGGGAGTTCGGTTTTCATTTCAATAGGAAACAACAAATACTTGGACGGCAAGGTCACCATCTTATCGTATCCCAGGCCAAACTACACTCTGACTCTCCCCAACGGTGCTCCGAATACTGACATCAGTCTCAGTATATCCACCATTACAACGAACATCTACCGCATCACACTGCGCAAGTCAAATATTCAGCCGAAGGATCATGGGACATATAAAATGATTGTTTCAAACGCATACGGAACAAGAATACTAGATATTAATGTCCATCCTGAAAGTAAGTCTACTATTTACATTAAGTAATGTTTAAAAAAAAATAAAACTGAAGAAACGCATCATAAATCAATTTAAGAGATGTTTTGAAAGAACATGGTCACTTTTAAACTACAGTGTATTTCAAACTCCACAACTAATCTTGTTTTTTAGGCAAACCTTTAAAAACAGATCAAGTGTTTGTGTCTTGTGGATACAGAAAAGCTCACGTAACTTGGCAGTCCTCTTACTTTGGTTTCGAGGTTCAAAATTCATTTGTTCAGTACTCGAGAAATCCTGACAGTGTTGTTTTCTCCAACGGGTCGGGCCTCACTCTTGAACGGAAAGAAGAAGAACTCTTGCATGTCCTAGTTTCCGGTCTACAAGACAACACTAAGTACTTCTTCAGAGTAGCCACCAGTAATAGATATGGCGTCACTGTGTCATCGGTTGTCAACTGCACCACGGAAACTTCAAACGGTAATCATCATTATCCAATTCTTCTTTTAATTCCCTGTTTATTAAATGTTTGTTCAAGGATATCACTACTAAGCCATGAAGGATGACTCTCAATATTATTATTTAAATTCGAAAAGTCTCATAAGAAACTTTTAAATAACAATTTTTATTTCATGCATCTTCGTAAGATTCATGGTTCTTTACAATATTGTAAAAAAAAAAATTGACATTAGTACCCTACAAATGAAAAACCTACCGGGTACATTAATATTATTTTAAGAGAAATCAAATATCCTGTAATCTGGATTTATATCTTACAATTTTTGCCCAATGTATTATATACTAGTAACCAAGCAATTTTCTCAATATGCCACCTACACTATTTCACCTTAAAGTACAATTTTAAATTTTAATTTATTGATCAAGTTTCTATTTGAAAGTTAGCGCTAGTCCTTATATTATTTCCGAGATTTGATAGTGTTTCCTATATAATATGATTACATTTGAAGACGAAGGTATTATTTTTGTGAATTCATAGACATTTCTTTTTTCATTTACTTATCTGCTGGTTTATCGAACCTGAAGATTGCATTATCACATATCTAACGACACGTAAATTATTATTTTGAGGTGGATGTTGAATACCGGGTATTTTTTTATTGAGGGGGTGTTCTTGTATATGTTCTGTGAACATGTTGTGAGCTTATGGACCTAGCTACGAAAGCATGGGAAGAGAGATAACTCTATCTTGAAAGCTCAGAAATAAGCAGCAATGTTGAGTTGTACAATCATTGATTTCATTTTTTCCCCATTCTCTTTATTTTCAAAATGGACTCCGTGTAGAAATTCTCTTTTAAAGGTGCATGGACACAGATTTCAAGTTAATATTTGCTGTATAATATCACGACTTCTAATAGCATTTCACACAAAAATATATTAAAAATTTTATTTCAAGGTCCGTGTTTGCTCTGCTCCTAACAAAACCCCTTCACAAGTATCGTCAGTCCGCGCTACGTGTTGTGTACAGAGTTTAGCAAACTGATCATGCCCGTGAAACGCACGCTGTTTTTGTAAACAGGGCGCCGAGCTCTGTTATTGTTTATGTTAACGATTCACCGAGTGTGTTCAATTCTTATAGTCTGCTCACCACAACTGCACTTGTTGATGAATGCATATTATTTTGGACCTAATACGAGCAAAGAAAACTATTGGATATTTTGTTTTTAAAAGCAATGCTTCATTACGTTTCTTAATCAGCACTAGATAAGTATAACATTAAACATTATTTCCATATATACCTCATACTTTTAATTTTATTGTGAGATAAAAAAAATTGATATTTCTATTTACAATATCAAAATTTCTTCATAAAATTATTAGAAATAATATTCATTTCTGATAAAGTAAGCACCGCTTCATACTTCAAACTGTTTTCCGTTTGAATCTAAGGCTATTGTTGTTGATGAAAATAAGTGTTTCAATTGAAATAAAAGTTGGTGAAATTTGGAGCAGGGCGATATTTCACGTACCTTTAATAATTAATCTCGACCACTCGGGTTGCTGGGACCGCTTTCTGGGACAGCTCGAACAGTTTTCTGTGACCGCTGGGACTGTGTGCTTCAGGCCGCTGTGGAACTGCTCTGGGAATGCTGTTGGACTGTTGGAATCTTAAATTTACAGTGTTCTTTCTAAATATCCATAGCCAGCAATGATATTAAACACTTTGCCAAATTAGGATTTCTGGTTTTTTTTTTTTGGTTTTTTTTTGTTTTTTGTTTTTTTGTTTTTTTTTTTTACATTTTTCAAAAACATAAATATATTAATAAACATATGTTACTTAAAGTAACATCGAAAACCCCACTGATATTTTTCATGTTATCTTCAAGTTTAAAAAAAATTTCGGGAATAATTTTTTCTTTTTCTGACTTAAAAATTTATAAATCTCAGATATTTTCTATGTAAACGTGCATGTATTTAAAAAAAAAAAACATACCCAAAAATTAAAACATTTTTAATCTTCTATTTCATCATTAAGCATTAGATAGTTTGCTAATGCATTCATATACGTAGATGTATATTTCTTTGCAAACAAATTGCAATGCTTCCTTTACACTTCAATTCCCTGCACTTCTTGAGTCTCACGCCCCGTGGGGATCCGGGTTAGAATAGGTCCTCAGTACCCCCTTGCTTGTCGTAAAAGGCGACTAAATGGGGCGGTCCTTCGGATGAGACCGTATAAACCGAGGCCCCGTGTCACAGCAGGTGTGGCACGATAAAGATCCCTCCCTGCTCAAAGGCCGTAAGTGCCAAGCATAGGCCTAAATTTGCAGCCCTTCACCGGCAATGGTGACGTCTCCATATCAGTGAAATATTCTGGAGAGGGACGTTAAACAGTATACAATCAATCAATCTTGAGTCTCACAACCTAAAAAAAAGACGTTCTGAAATTACATATAAGTTTAAGCAAAATTTATCTTCTTCTTTTTTTTAAATTAAAAGAATAATTATTAAACATTTTCACTTCGATCTCAAAAGAAAATGAAGATCGATCTGAGAATCCATGTTAATACCTGACAGGGCAGCAATGATTTTTTCATCTAGGTTTTTGCGATCCTTGGTTCTTGTTGTGATTAGATATGTATCTATACGAGTTTGTTGGTGCATGAACACAAATCCGTTTACAGGATCATTATAAATGTACAATATTGCCCGTGTACCTAGGGGTGTCATTGTGAGCTTAACGGTTATGAGGTTATTCGCGTTTGGATCGAATGTCAAATGCTGTTGTTACTTTTGCGAGGAATTGGCTTTGTGATGTCCTGTTTCAGTAAGACTGATTTATTATGAATAACTTGCATTACAGTATACAGGGTTAATTATTTTCGCCCCGTGTTATTTTTACCCTTTCACGTTTGGAAACAAATTTGCCCAGAAAGATTTGAGATTTAAAAATCTAAAGATTTAAATTCGCCCAGAAAGGTTTTAAGTTAAAGATATCATACTATTTACTTTGAATTCGCCCCGTTTTGAATTCGCCCGCCTCCGACGAGGGCAAAAGGGGCGAAAAAAAAAATGGGGGCGGAAAATTTCCTGTGTACAGTATAAGCTTTTTCCGAAATGACTTGTTTTCTTTGGATTATCGGTGATATCTATAATTTAATTTACCATAGTTTGCTGATTTCTTGCTAAAGATCCGAGAATCCAGATTAAGACCAGCGGGGCAGCACTGATTTTGTCATCAAGGTTTTTGGGATTCTTGGCTCTTGTTGTGATTAGGTAGGTATCTCGAAGAGTTTGTTGGCGCATGATCACAAATCCGTCGACAGGATCATCATTTACGAACAAAATTGTCTGTGTATCTAGTTTTTCTGATAAAAAATGTTAAATTTTCTTAGTAAATGAATACAGTGATGTCTATTATGTGAATAAAAATTTGTATTTCTCTGGAGAAACAGATAATTTTATCTTCTTGGTAAGTGACATTGTTGACTAAAATATTCTCTCTGTGGATCATTCATTCATACACATGTAATTAATGTATTTTTTAATACTTCTTGGAATAGCTCATAAGTTATAAAAAGAAAACTTTCGTTGAAAACAAGGACCTTTTGTCGACATCCGAATGACTTCAAACTTCACTGCTTCGGTTGGAGACAAATCCAAATCCAAAGGAACAAACTTCAGTGCTGTGGTACGACATTCTTCTAAATTTCTAAAGTGGAAAATTCAATAAAGAAAAAGTGTTAAATTTTATCTTCTACATATCCTTGGTCCTTTCGATCAGATATTGCTATCAAATGTTAGCAAATTACTTTAAATTGGAAAACATTAATTAAAATGTTTAATCAATTCATATCAGTGAATTTATTATTTGTTTTTCGATCGGACTGATAACGTTTTTAATTGGGTGGTTATGTTACTGTAATGTGGAACATATTTATAAGAAGATATGACTGTTATATAAACTGAAAAAAAAACTTACGGAAACCAGCGATGACGTGTTTTTACCAAGCTCCATCATGAAGAACCTCAAAATCCCAATAGGTGTTGTCTCTGACGTCCGCGCTACGTGTGTCCATAAACAGGTACCATTCAACCTTTATTATCGATTAATCATTTATCCTTTTATGATAAAATATTTTAAATCAACATATGCCAAAAATATGCCCCCAATGGACAAAATTTGTTCTGTAAGCCAGAATAAATTAACTTTAATTTTAAATATTGGTTTCTTTAAAAGCAAAATTGTTTTTTTCACAATTTTAACTCATTACTCTCAGCCATGGACAACTAAACTTTGTGTATTTTTTTCCAGCCACATGTAAACATTGTAAACATTATTTTTCGACAATGAGTGGATGATAAATTTAAGGGAAAAAAAAGATTACATATATCTATTATTAAGTAAGAGGCATGAGAATATTAAAACAATTTGTTAATTACCTTTCCATGATCCAGATGCTGTGGATTCAAAGATTCGCTTCTTTTATAACTACCAGAAATCTGAGAAGACAGTGTCCTTTGGCAGAGAGCAAAAAGAGAAGGGCAAAGATAGCAAATCTTTTGGAAAACATCTCCAGGCTGAAATCGACTCGGATCAAAAATGAAAGCAAGTCGGAATGTTCTTACAAGTGCCAGGAATGCATTTTTATATCTCGCTTATTTCTATAAATTAGCTCAGCCTTTTCCTGAACTATCTAGATTATGCAATTAATGAAGATAAAGTATAATAGATAAAGTATATACAGCTGCATCGAAAATTTGGGTATTTAGCATAACAGAATCACCGATGTCCGAGACGGTTGGTCAGCATTAAAGTCAAGGCCACACATGAAAGGTCAAGAGTTAAAATAATGGTCTTATAAGATCTAACATACCTTTACTTGTTTAACGTTTATGAACAGGTAGATAAAACATTACTTCTATTCTCTCAAAACCATGTCAATGGTACATGAGGTACAGAAACATACAAAACATATGTACATATAATACAGTGGGTCAAGCAGAAGGTGATAACTAAGGAGAACAGACAATACTATAAATTTTAGAAATAGATAAACATAATTTCTTCAAAGAAACAGCCTCATTTTGGCACACGACTTAACAAGCTTGATAATATTTGGATTAGAACAAAATTTTTGGTTCAAATAACCTTTCTTCAATTTGTTTAAAGCACTGCAATCTAAAATATTCATCTCCTATCTGGTTACTACTGCATAAGCTACAACTTCTTTCATGCCATTCCATCTTCCTGTTTCAGTTGAAAGGTGGTGATTTATGGTTCTAAACTTATGATAACAGTGCTAAATATTTTTTGCTCTCAAAAGTGCTTTTAAAAATTCTATGATTAAATCTTTTTGAAGATTCTTGAACTTCGCTATTCCACTTTTGAATATGTGGATCTTTTAATTATAATCTTTATTTGACTGTAGCAGTCCCGCATTCTACATTATGAAAATATTGCTCATACCATATCTCTGATAAACCACATTTATTCATTTCTTTTGTACAAATGAAATCCATTTCCCCTTTATCATATTGTTTACGTAGATCTACACAATTTGTTTTCTTTTCCATACACAGAGTTTTGCCCAATATTCTATCATTCTTGAATAAATATTTAGGTGTATTTTCAGATGATAAAACAAAATTGACATCATGCAGTTAATATACAGAAGTATTATGCAGAATGTCCAATGTGAGGTAGTCTTGCATGCATATTACTCAGAGATTTGCTAGCTTTATCGCGCCAGCAAAAAGCCAACCACGAACTGTGCTGACCATAATCTTTTATTAGTTAAGTATTTAAGAGAAATGCCACACCAGAATTTTATTTCATAGATCTTGAAGACACTTTTTTCATGGTGTTCCGATGTGGCCATTTGCAAAAGTGTAATACTCCATTAGAAACAACGCGCTAGCGCGAAGTAACAATGTTGTTCACAACACACCTTCGCACAACAACACGCTGTCACTCTATCACAACTTTACACAACACACCGTCGCACTAACACAAAACATCACTATGGCAAGTCCTTTTACTATTTATTCGTGATATTAAAAAAATCTTTCAATAAGAGAGATATCTCTTTACCTACTTCTGTGAATAAAAGGATTACTTCCGGTAAGAGAGAAGTCGTTTTCAATGGAATTTAAATGAAAAAAAGAATTGTGGTCCCCCGCTTTCGGAGTCTTTGTGGGTGAGATGTTATTTTTATGACATATTGTGTCTGATATAAACACCCTATCATATGTCATTTATTCAGAAATTATCATTGAAGTTGATTTTTTTTAAAAATAAGATCAATCGTGAAGGTCAAGGTCAAGGGGTAAGAAATCATAGCATATACTCAGAATATCTTGTCACAGGTAATGCACATGTCATATATGAAAGCCCTATCTCTCTCTCAACATAAGGAACAAGATGTGTTTGTTAAACACTGATGACCCCAAAAGGCAACATAACGAAGATTAAAATTTTCTTAAATGCAAATTAAATATATTATTACCAAAGTAGGGTTTTTCTCACAAGAAATACGTTTGTGGAATACAAAATCCCCAGCACCACCTAGTCGAGAACAAATTTTTGAAAGGTAGGTCAAACTCCAAGGTGAAAGGGTCTGAGTTGCTGGTTTCTTAGGAAAGGTCTTGTCACAAGTAATACAAATGTGAACGATGAAACCCTAATCCTAACCGTCAAAAGTTATGACCAAAGTTAAAAAATTTTAAAAGTAGGTCAACTCCAAAGTCAAGGTCAAAGGGTTAAAGTTCTTGATATCCAATGAAAGGTCTTCTCACAAGGATTACATATAATGAAGTACGAAAGCCCTAGCCCTTACCGTTCAAAAGTTATGGTCAAGGTTAAAGTTTTTCATAAGTACGGAAATCTCCAAGGTCAAGGTCAAAAGGTTAAAGTTCTTGGTATCCAATGAAAGGTCTTGCCACAAAGAATATATATGTGAAATATGAAAGTCCTAGTATCTACCGTTCAAAAGTTATGGCCAAAGTAAAAGTGGAATTTTTGTGTAAAAGTAAATCAAACTACAAGGTCAAGGTCAAAAGGTCAAATTTGGTGGTACCCAAAGAAAGGTCTTGTCACAAGGAATATACATGTAAAATTGTATAGTCATAGCTCCACTAAATCAAAAGTTATGGGCAAGGTTAAAGTTTTTGTGACGGACGGACGACCAACAGACAACGAATAAGATTTAATGTCCCCTCGCTTTAGCAAAGAGGAGAAATCAAGATAGATATCTCTTTTCAATAAAGAGATATCTTTTTTTGCTTGGGAGATATCTTTATACACTTTTCAAAGATATCTCTCTTTCAGCTTAAGAAATATCTCTTCTAAGATCAACTTGAGAGAAATATCTTTCTTTAAGAGATTTTCTCTTTGACTTCGAAAGGTATCTCCAAATGTAAAAGAGATATTTCTCTAGGTGAAAGAGATATCTCTTCAACGTTCAGAGATATCGCTTTTTACAAAGAGGATCTGTTCGAGTGGAAGAGATTATCTCTCTAAGTATGAAGAGATATATACTCTAAGTTTAAGAGATATCTCTCTAAGTTTAAAAGATATCTCTTTTTCAAAGAGATATCTATTAAAAATGAGAGATATCTCTTTAAGTAGGGAGATATCTCTAATTTTTAAGAGATATCTCTCTAAATTGAGAGATATCTCTGTAATTATAAGATAAATGTTATTTTCCGAATAAATAGCAAAAGTGCTTGCCATACATAACACTCAAACAATTTTACACAATCAAATTTTGTGTGATAGCGCGACCACGTGTTGTGTAAAGTTGCAAAAAAGTTTCTGTAATAAATTTTTCAACCCATAGTCTAATGATAGGTTGAAAAAAATTATTAATACAGAAACAAGTGTCTGTGATTCAAAGACCGATATAATCTCTTTATTACGCATTCTATAGGATTTTTTTCAGAGAGAAAAATTTT